TGTTCAAATTAAGTTTCGTGGAGGGGGTTCCCCTTCGTCAACCCATTTTAATGAGACAATGTGTTTAAATTAAGTTTTGTGGAGGGGGTTCCCCTTCGCCAACCCATTTTAATGAGACAATGAGTTCAAATTAAATTTTGTGGAGGGGGTTCTCCTTCGCCAACCCATTTTAATGAGACAATGTGTTCAAATTAAGTTTGTTCCTCATCAAACCTGAGGTTCTCATGGCTCTAAAATAAAAATAAAAGATTCTTTTTTTTTTTTTCGTACAAAAGTACACTTAAGGGATACATCTAGACGAAATTCGGTACAAATGCACTTTAAAATCTAAATTTAAACAACTCATAATATTCACAACGGTCGAGACCATGGATCCTACTTTCATTTTACCCCAACACGCTTTATCTCTGACATTTTTTCGACCCATTTGAATGGCGAGAAATTTTATATTTTTAGTCTGTTATTTATCCGATGAATTATTCAGCGTCCCTATCGTAGGGATAATTAAAACGTCACATTATAGATCGAGTCCCCATCGGGGGTCCTCATTTTAACTTTAATTGAAAACTATGCAATTAAAACTTTTTTTAAAAATGTTTTTGTCTCGTGATAGGGAACAGGCTTACATGAAAAAGATCTTTTTTTTTTTTTTGTGTGTATTTATTGGAAAATTTAGGAAAAAAAAAATTATAGGATATTTTCCATTACGTTCTCTATTTTTCCTTAAGGTATAAAGATTATGAAAAAGTCAATGGGATTTAAAATTTTTTGGAAATATTAGTTTAGTTTTTTTTTTAATTTTTTTTATTTATCCTCTTTTTTTCCTTTATTAAAACTTTTTTTAAAAATGTTTTTTTCTCGTGATAGGGAAAAGGCTTACATGAAAAAGATCTTTTTTTTTTTTTTGTGTGTATTTATTGGAAAATTTAGGAAAAAAAAAAGTATAGGATATTTTCCATTACGTTCTCTATTTTTCCTGAAGGTATAAAGATTATGAAAAAGTCAATGGGATCTAAAAGTTTATGGAAATATTAGTTTAGTTTTTTTTGTAATTCTTTGTATTTATCCTCTTCTTTTCCTTTACATCTCTTTGATTTTCCTAAAGTGTTATGACGTCAGATTTTTTTTTTTAAACGCATTAAGGTCCAAAATTAGTGTAGAGGGTTTATCATTTATTATTTTCCTTATATTAGCCAAAGATATACACGATGGATGAGTTCAAGATGCAAGCTTAAAAAAAAATGAATGCATCCATGCCAAATTCTGTCAACCAACTGTTCAAATCCTTTTTTTTTTAATATAGGTGAATTTCAAGCTAATAATGTGTCGTACCTTTTTTACAGGGGACCCAATAATATTTTAAAATAAAACTCTACATCTTTGGCGCTTTTCAGATAATTTTCAATGGGACAACTTTTAAAATAGTTTGTTTCATTGTGCATCCTAAAATATACTCACTGCTGTAAAAGATTAAGAAAAAAATGTTTTGGCGCCAAGGGGGCCTTAACAGTAAAACTTTAAAAAGGCAAAATCTTGAACCAAATGCCATCCGATTTTAAAGGGCTGAATTTGACTATTTAACTAGGATATTTATCTGAATTTTTTTTAATTTTTTTTTTATAGAGCACTTTTCTTAGGTATATCTAAAATGGCCCATTGTGGCATGGGTTTCTTGCTGTGCATCCTATGTTATTGTAACCGATAAACGAACATAGCTTCGGCATTGGTGAATACTATTTTTTTATAAAGCATCATTCAAAAGTTAGATTTATCTTTAAATCATGTTTTGTTTTTTTTTAAATATACTGGTCCCATCTTGAACATTAACGGAAATAGCGCTGGGCACCAAATTCATTGTCTACAAGAGTGATGAGAAATAAATCTATCTTTTTTGCATAGGAGACATTGTTAAATTATGATGGGTAATTTGGCGAAGTGTTTTTGACATGGCCCTAAAGTTACGTCTACGCTCTTACGCCTTAGAAGGGTTATTTTTATTATATTTTTTTGTTCGAATGCAAACCCTTTAACGCCGGGCATATTTACTAGTGGCGTCTCGAGAAAGCTATTCATAGAGCGTATAAACATGTTCACTTTGCGTTGCCATTTAATTCTGTCCCCCCTAGTCTACGACAAGTACCCGGCCACCACGTCACTCAACGAGTACATCAGGGATGTGGCCGGACTCAAGGGCACCAAGGTCATGTGCAAAGAGGCCGGCTGCGGCTGCTGTGCCGTGACCGTGACCTACGCCCCTGGAGGGGAAAAGTTGGAGACCATGAGCATCAACTCGGTAGGTTGCTTTGTTTAAAATGGCTGTAGTCTGTTGTATTTAAGTTCATTGAACCGAAACAGTTTTCTGTGTATACCTGTGACTATTGTTTTAAAAACATGGATATCTCTAATCCAATATTTCAAAATTGGGATAACAGTGACCAATCCTGTCAAATGTGGATATTTGTGTCCAATGCTTTCAAAATGTGGATGCTAGTTTCAGTCCTGTCCAATGTGGATACCGGTGACCATCCTTGTCAAATTTAGATCCACGAGACCAATCTTGACAAAAGGTGGATACTTGAGACCAATCCTGACAAGTCATGAATATCTTTTTATTATTCCTGTCAAACTGTGGATACCTTGTTATAATTCCTGTCAAAATGTGGATACTCTGTAATTATGAATATCAAAACCCTAACACAGTTTAATATTTTGAAAGCAATTTGGCAAGCTCTCAAATTATTCATGTGACTACAAGCATACATTACTTTGCCGACAAACATGCTTTATGCTACACTGCACACAACCTAATACATAATATACCTATAATTAATTAAGGTCACCTAGTGCAAAAGTCAATTCTTTATTATCCCCAGTGCAAATGTCAATTATTGAATGTCCCCAGAGCAAATTTCAATTTTTTAACATCCCCAGTGTAAATGTCTATTATTTAATGTCGCCATTGCACATATCATTTACTTAATGTCCCCGCCAGAACATGTATATTATTGAATGTTTCCATTACATTTGTCTATTATTTATTGCCATCCCCCCTCCCCCAGTGCACATGTCCCCTGTACAGTGTGGACGGCTGGCAGATCACCACAGTCGAAGGTATAGGAAATCAGAAAGATGGATTTCATCCCATCCAGGAGAGAATAGCACAATACAATGGTACACAGTGTGGATATTGCACACCTGGATTTGTCATGTCCATGTATGGGTAAGCACTGTGCCATTCTGGTGTCTTTTAATTAAGTAAATTGGTAAGGGTTTATCTCGATACCCACAGGGTTTATCTCGATACACACAGGGTTTATCTCGATACCCACAGGGTTTATCTCGATACCCACAGGGTTTATCTTGATACCCACAGGGTTTATCTCGATACCCACAGGGTTTATCTTGATACCCACAGGGTTTATCTTGATACCCACAGGGTTTATCTCGATACCCACAGGGTTTATCTCGATAACCATAGTGCTTATCTCGATAACCACAAGGTTTATCTCGATACCCACAGTGCTTGTGAATAACCCTCATCACGATTTCATCTGTTTCACCGAGTATGTGTAATCTATATATCTACTACTTGTTCACTGAACAGTTTGACCAAATGTATAAAACACAGGAACTTTATTTTGTATCCACTCCCAACCAGCCTGCTCCACCAACAGCCCCAGCCCACACAACAAGAGATCGAGGACTCATTCGATGGTCACGTGTGCAGGTGTACAGGCTACAGGTCAATCTTGGACGCCATGAAATCATTTGCTTCAGACTCGACCATCCCTGGGGCCAAATGCATTGACATTGAGGTAATTTAGATTTATTACTACAGACTCCACCATCCCTGGGGCCAAATGCATTGACATTGAGATAATTTAGATTTATTACTACAGACTCCACCATCCCTGGGGCCAAATGCATTGACATTGAGGTAATTTAGATTTATTGCTACAGACTTGATCATCCCTGAGGCTGACATTGGTGTAATTTAGATTTATTGCTTCAGACTCGACCATCCCTCGTGCCAAGTGTATTGACATTGAAGTACTTTAGAGGTATTGCTTCAGACTCGACCATCCCTCGTGCCAAGTGTATTGACATTGAAGTACTTTAGAGGTATTGCTTCAGACTCGACCATCCCTCGTGCCAAGTGTATTGACATTGAAGTACTTTAGAGGCATTGCTTCAGACTCGACCATCCCTCGTGCCAAGTGTATTGACATTGAAGTACTTTAGAGGCATTGCTTCAGACTCGACCATCCCTCGTGCCAAGTGTATTGACATTGAAGTACTTTAGAGGCATTGCTTCAGACTCGACCATCCCTCGTGCCAAGTGTATTGACATTGAAGTACTTTAGAGGTATTGCTTCAGACTCGACCATCCCTCGTGCCAAGTGTATTGACATTGAAGTACTTTAGAGGTATTGCTTCAGACTCGACCATCCCTCGTGCCAAGTGTATTGACATTGAAGTACTTTAGAGGTATTGCTTCAGACTCGACCATCCCTCGTGCCAAGTGTATTGACATTGAAGTACTTTAGAGGTATTGCTTCAGACTCGACCATCCCTCGTGCCAAGTGTATTGACATTGAAGTACTTTAGAGGATTGCTTACTTGGGCAAAAACGTTTTTATTATCTTTATATGCGGTCGTAAATCAAAGTCTGGAAATTAATAATCAACTAAAAAGTTCTGAGACTTAATTCTTTTGCGATTATTTTTTTGTTACATTATATATAAAGTTCAGGGAACTTTTTCTGTTGGAGATGGTATTTATATAGATGTGTTGTTTTGTTTTTTTTTAAAAAGGATAAGCCTTGCTATAGTTGCCTTCTTTCCCTTATGGGAGAGTTCCAAAAAATATGCTTAAAATGTTGCATATGCATAATTGTTTTTTTTAACATCCTTTCTGCTGAAAGAGATTTTTCTTTAAATTCTCCAAACCCAGGATCTGAGTAAACATCTGTGCCCCAAGACAGGAGAGTTGTGCCAAGGGAAGGAATCAGGTGCAAAGTGTTCCTCACATACCAATCCCTCTCTTGACCTTGACCTCATAGAGAGCAGATGGCATCGTCCACTTGACCTTCAACAACTTGGAACTCTACTTTCAGCCAATAAAAATGTGAAGACAAGGCTTTTGTTTGGCAATACATCAACAGGTCAGTTGGTTTGGTAGCACACCTTAACAGGTCAGTTGGTATTTTAGCACACCTTTACAGGTCAGTTGGTTTGGTAGCACACCTTAACTGGTCAGTTGGTTTGATAGCACACCTTAACTGGTCAGTTGGTTTGATAGCACACCTTAACAGGTCAGTTGGCTTGGTAGCACATCAAAAGGTCAGTCGGTGACTCGCTTAAAGAAATATGCATGATTGAATTAACTGTGAAAAACCAGATGAGTGATTTTTGTTTACATAATCTTCATAAAAGACACTTCAGCCCAGGTAAGGCTGTGTCCTGCTCCACTTCATCGTTTCAGAATGTTCCATGGATTTTGTCTCCCAGTGTGAAACTCCAGATGATGTAAACTCATTTGTTTAGATAAACCAATAAAAATTCTGCACAAAACAACAAGAATAAAAACAATTAACAATAACAATTCTTTAGGTAACAGAGAAGATCACTAAAAATGCAATATCACTTCAGCCAAGTAATTTTTGCTGCATAGGCAATGGTTTAAGTTTTTTGTTTATAAATTATTAGTAGCCTTTGAAGATAAAATGAAAAAGAAACCAAATTTTCAAATAGCATTTTTGTTACTACACAGGTATTTTCAAAAATGAGGGGCCCTATGATTTGTATATTGACCTCCATGGGGTTAAAGAACTTTACCAGTTTACCGTAAGTAAAGATTTGTTTTTGTTTTTTTTGTTTTTTTATTTTGAAAAATAAAGCTTTTTTTTTTATTTGTCTGTAAATATTATATGTGGTTTATTTTTTGCTTTTTTTTTTTTTACAATAATGAAATTAAAAATCCGATTGTGATTTGAATGTTGAACCTCACCAGGAAAACTCTTCTAGTGTCACCTTTGGAGCCAACACAACACTGACCAAGTTCAAGGACAGACTGAAAGTGTTGCAGGACAAAGCTGGATTTACCTACTGTGCCAGAGTTGTACGCCACCTCAAGGTCCTGGCCAGTGTACTGGTCAGGAATGTAAGTGAATTACTCTTATTTCCATCGAAAAAAGAAATCAACCCAGGGGAGAGAGAGGGAGAGCGATGTCACCCAGAATTTAACAATGAAGTTATTGCAAATACTATCTACCAACATTATTGCCAGTTTTGTAAAATTAAACTTTTAGTGTCTGATTTTATTTTAATACAGGCACATAAACAAAATTGGAAGATTGTTCTTACAGGTTCTATGTCCCATGGTAATTCTAAATACAGTGGGGATTTGATAAATTACATTGATACTAAAGGAATGACACATTTTTTTAAAACTAAGCTGAAAGTTAATGATGTAGAGTTAATGCATGTCCTTGTTAACATTAAGTAAACATGTATGGCTCTTGCTACATATTTTTAGTCCTTAATAGTAAGTTAGTAACCAAAACCATTATTGCTAAGATTGACTTAAAATGAAAAGTAAGCGGATTTTTTTTTTAAAAATTAATTTTTGAATGATTACATTATCTTGAGAGGTTTTTATGATGAACCATAACCGGATCACGATTAGCAATGTGGAAAACAATTTATTTTTTTATGATGTATTAACATTAATCAAACAAATCATTCTGTACTGTCTCACTACATGTTTATTCAGGCCGGGTGCATAGCTGGTAATTTAATGATCAAAAAGAACCATCCTGACTTCCCATCTGATCTATTCACCATGATGGAAGCCATCGGAGCATCAGTGGGGATTTATGGTGAGTGACAAACTCCAGGCTCCAATCTTTGTGATCTTAGTAGTTTTACTGTAAGTTAATGTAACAAAATTTTAATATTATTACTTTTACTGTAAGTTAATGTAACAAAATTGCGATCTTATTACTTTTACTGCAAACTAATGTAACGTACTTTATCCAGAGAGGGGGATATCTAGCTTACTTTCCTGTTCTGAATGTAACAGGTGTTAAAACAACTAGTACAGAATCCAAGTTGTGTTGTGAAGGGTTTGTTGTGTTTTTATTTGTTTACCTAAATATAATCAAGACAGGGATAGTTGGTCATTTTAAGATTTTTAAACATTTCTGTTTAAGACCCAGCTGCTGGCACCACCACTAAGCACGGCCTCATGGACTTCCTGCGCCAAGTCAAAATGGCTGGCAAAGTGTTGGCTTTTCTTGAACTGCCCAAACTGGATGCATCCGCTTTTTACCGCTCCTTCAAAATAACGCCCCGATGGCAGGTGTGCACGTCATTGTTTTAATAGAATGCAAAATTTAAGCATGAACCGTTTATAACTATTTTCAAAGGTTTATTGCCAAATAATATAGTACCTTAAAAATGTATATACTATTATCAATGACTACCCCTATCAATCTTACTTAATAGTGTTTAATCTGGGCAACCAACCAAAAAAACAAATTTTTTAAAAATATTATCTGGCAGCCTAATTATTAGATTATGAGCGATTCAATAAATTTAAAAAAATGAAAAACCTGGAAACTAAATCTATTCAGCTGGCATTTTTATTTAGTTAAAATTGGCATTTTATAAACAAATTTTGACTCATGTTCTGCAAACTCATTGAATTGCATGATTGTCATTTAAAAAAAAAAAAAAAACAGAACGCCCATGCCTATGTGAATGCTGCCTTCAGATTTGGAGTGAATGACAAGAAAGTCACTGGAAAACCTTCTCTGGTGTTTGGTGGCATCAGCAAAGACATGGTTTGTGAAAAATTAACCCATAGTAAACAGTCTCTCTCGTGAATTGAACTTCAAATTTGATGCTCACTCTTTTACCTTTGTCATGGTTAGAGCTTCTTCTACCGGGATACTCATATGTGTAAAATGTATGTGAGTATGGGGATGGTAACTCCAGTGAGCCTTAGGCTTCAAAGTGAGAAGACCAGTCTTGGCAAAATTAATGTCCTTTTATATATACTTTTATAGATTTGTTTTCATTAAATCTAATATTTATATCAATTTGTTTTTTTTAAATTAAAGACACTGAGGTATTAGGGGGATGCACTTGGAAGTCGTGTCTCTCAACACTGTGCAGCCATACAACAATAATAAATTCATATTGAGCTCAACTCTAGAAATTATATAAATTATACATATTGAGCTCAACTCTAGAAATTATATAAATTATACATATTATCATTCACAGGTTCACGCTGTCAAAACTGAAACATACTTGGCAGGAAAAACACTCAGTGATATAGTCATTAAAGGTTTTTACATTTCACATCTCTATTATTTATTGACCTGACCATACATGATGTGCCAAATATGACAGAAGTAGAACAGTGTTCATGGGACATTTGAGAGTGTTCATGGGACATTTGAGTGTTCATGGGACATTTTACAGTGTTCATGGGACATTTGAGAGTGTTCATGGGACATTTGACAGTGTTCATGGGATATTTGACAATGTTCAAGGGACATTTAGAAGTTATAGTTTTATATTATTTAGGCCAGGAATGTTACTTTTTTGTTTTTAGAACCTTAGCACAGCTAAGTCCCTTTAAGAATGATGTACAGATCAATGTACAGATCAATGTACAGCAAGAAGCCAGTATAGGAGCTGCTCATTCCTGCCCAAGACAATCAGGGACTGGAACAATCTTTCAAAAGGAACGGTTGAGGCGACAACACTAGACACATGACACATTTGTGTCTATTGCCTCAAGTCTTCAAACCCCTAGTGCATGATTTCCTCATCAACACCAGTAACAGAAACATTGCAAATCCCATCTACATGCATAGGAGCCAAAATGATCAATAAATTGATCGTGGGCCCTTAAGATATAGAAGAAGAAGAAGAACCAGTGTACCAATGTACCAGTACACTGATAAATCAGTGTACCAATGAATCAGTGTACTGATGTTCCAGTGTACCCATGTATTAGTGTACCGATGAACAGGTGTACCAATGTATCAGTGTACCAGTGTACCGATGTGCCAGTAGACCAGTGTACCAATGTACCACTGTACCAATGTACCAGTGTACCGATGTGCCAGTGTACCCATGTATCCGTTGCACACTAAAAGGGATTTTTTTTTTAGAATAGAGATTTAGAGTTACTGTGAGGATTTAGTCAGAAATCCAGCTGCATATAATTGACCTGCATAGGGAAATTTACAAAGTTATAACTTATTTCTTTCTTGTGGTCACCAATTTCATTAAAAAAAAAAATGTTCCTTTTCAAAAGGGCTCTTATGATTATTTAAAAATTTAACATGGGAATACAACAATATTAATAATAATAAACATGAAGCCTAGACTTAGTATTTCAACAAGTTATACTTCTTTTAAATTATGTTTAAATTAATTAAAACAAAGTTTATAATTGTCTTTAGAGACCCTCGCACTGCTTGCGTCTGAGATTGAGCCAGCTACTGATGACCCCCTCATTGCTTCAGCCAAATACAGAAAAAGTTTAGCCATTAACCTTCTCTATAAGGTACGCAGTGTTCAGAAATTAAATAAGCTATAAATAACATTAGTTAATTTTTTTTTAAATAAATAAAAATTGACCAATTTCAGTTTTTTTCCATGTCGTGCTTTCTACTTGTAATAAATAAATTATTTTTTAATAAACATTATCATGAACCCTCACAACTCTCCCATTTCCTATAATATTTTATAATTATATTTTCTATGGGTGTCTGAAACTCTTACTTCCTTGCTTTGGCCGAGGTTACAAAGTGGATTATAAAACAATAATTTAAATGTTTGCCCTTAAATAATGTTATTGCAGACATTGCTGGAAGTTTACAAACCATCTGATCCAAGAATCAAGACAGGAGCCGACAGCATGGAGAGGAACTTGTCTTCAGGCTTACAGACTTTCCAAGAGAAGAGCTCAGACTTCCCCCTGAAACAAGCCTTGCCAAAATTAGAAGCCCCACTCCAGGTACTGTTGGAACTTAACATTTAATTCACTTATTTCAACAGTTGACTATGTTTTACAAGCAATCAATATGTTTTTTAAATGGTCAAGTATGACTGTGCTTTGTAACGATGTTCTAATATCTCACTGTGGCAATGTGACCTACAACAAATGAAACGTTGGGTTAATGCGGCACTGGGATGATGCATCCATGGGCTCATGTGAAAATACGCTACTGCTATAAAGTGTTTAAATAGTATTATCATTCAATGTATCATTTGACTAATATCATTGTGTACTTGGGTAAGATTGGGCTAATCTACAACTGTGCTACAATGTTCATTTTGTAGATGATAGCAAATCAAAGTTCCCTCATGCTTAAAATCTTCCTTTCTCTCTTTACCCTCCAGGCGTCTGGTGAGACTGTTTACACAAATGACATGCCAGCTTTCCGTCGTGAACTCTGTGGTGCTTTTGTCGTCTCCACAGTGGGCTCGGCTACATTAGAAAACGTGGACCCCACCGAGGCTTTAGTAGGATTATTTTACACACAATAAAGCAAATAAATAATTAGAACTTGAGAGTTAAGGGTCACAGAAATGTTAATAAACATAATTTCATAAGTGTAGATGTATGTGGAGCTATTTAATTTTTTTGTTGTGGTCATTTTAAATTCTCAGATGAATTTCTTTTTTTTTTTTGATATTATTTAAATACCATACTTCACTGTCTTTCAAAAGTCTAATTTATCTGAAATATGAAATTGTAACAGATCTTTTATAAAGAAATAATCCATATTTCTGTAATTTTGAAATATTCCATAACTTGGA